AAAAGCTGAGGGAAATGAATCGCTTATATGATCCGATTCTGAAAACGCTATCAATCATCATAACAAATTCCTTGTAAATGTGCAAGATAAAAATATTCTATCAAAGGATACAAAAATTTGGATTAGAACCGACGCTTGCAAATATTTTTGACCAAAAATAATGTACCCAAGGGTAAAGGCATCTACCCCAGTTTCTATCCTACATAATGTGCATGCGAGTTAGAAATGGCATCAAGGGCCAAGAGAACAGTGGGTTATGCATAACTCATATCTCATTTTACTTAAAGGGATATTTTACACAAATTACATTGCTTCTTTTCAAAATTACATATAGCATGTATATATGTTTAATGAAAATTGTGCTCAATTTCCTCATACAAATGACATACGATATTAGAATGAAAGAAATCCCATATAAATCTAACTAGGTTGATTTCTGAATGTTCTTGTAACCATGATAGTGTCAGGACAGTTGTATATAAAGGTGTTTAGATGCAATAGTTTCAATAGTCATTAAATAGAATGCAGCCAGAAAATGTGCAAAATATCCCATTGAACCATTTACAGATTGACAGACTACAAAGAGTGACAAGAAGGGGAAGATGTCAAGCATTTGATTGGAGATTGTACAGCATTTGAAAGGAACTGTTAGAGAACCAGGTGGTTATCACAGTGTGAGGAAAGGTATTTATTTAATTTGTTACATCTGAGTTGTCGGAATGAATGGTGCATTGGTTGAACCTTTTATTAGGTAAAAAGCATTACACCAAACTGAAACTATAGTACCACACTAATAAGAAAGCCTGTGAATATAGTTTTTAGAGGATTTGATTACATAATTGTCCAGACAGTGTCTGTGGCAACCAACAAATTTATAGTATGACAATGCAAGTTGTTACATGACAAATGCTGTCCTGATGCTAAAATAAACATTATAAATATATAGAAATTAAAAAAAACAGCAACATGTTAAATGCCATTGACCTCAAAGGTTCATGGAACACATACCTTTTTCCCAAACCTGTACACACCTTGTATACAACACAAGTTAATGACTGCAAAATGTAGTATGTTTGAATGTGATATCTGATTTAATATATACTATTTATTTTACTTAATCCAATATTAGGAAAATGTGTGTTAGTGAAAGCCTCATTCAGTGGTTACTGAATAAAAAAGTTCCCTCTTTTCAGACCAGAAGAGGAATACCTATTATAATTCCAGCAGACGCAAGGAAACCGACTGACTAACTCACAAATGAAGTGGTTAGAAGAGATGCAGGGATCCTGGAAAAGAATACTTTGGTGTTTGCCTGAAAAGGTATAATCCACATGTTTAAAAATTTCCTTGGATGATTCCACTTAACATATCAAAAAAATTAAATCCATAATGATATTTTCTGATTTTACAGTACGTCAATCATTTGTTTAAATGCTGCAGCTGTGCTAGATTTAGATTTAGAAATCTGTTTCTAAATACCTGTCTTAAAATCAGCAACACTGTCATGGTAACAAACCACTTGCATTTCAGCAAATTCCAACTCCTTCATAATATGACCACATGTAAACACTATGAAAATTTCACTTCCTGTAAAGCTGATGCGTAGGCACAGATTCGAAACTGCTCAAATAGTAATCTCCAACACAAAGCTAAAGTATTATTCTGAAAAAAATTAAACCCCACATTGTCAACTTCAATATGACAAGACCAATTTTAACAAGGATTTATTTTTCAAATTTCAATTGAAAGCTTTATGATGGGGTAATCTAATAAACAAAAATATCACCCATGGCCACACCGCGAAAATAACCTGGAAATAACTATATAAAAATAATCAATATATGATGACAGTTTCGATGGAATGCATGTATTGACACTGTCTCTATTCAGTGTCACAATTTCCTTTTTTATAACACTTAATAACTATCCTTTAACCTTTATTGCTTATCTTAGGTGACCATCAAGGCCACTAGGCCTCTCGTTCCACTTTATTTATCAACCTGTAACGTCTTCCCCCATAAACCATCTGTCAGTTGTTATGAAACTTGGCATAAATGGATCAGTAACATTGATATTGGATTTTGAAAATTTGCTTCCATTATCAGCAGAATTGTTTTTGCCTTGTTTCGCAGCCGAAAAAGTTGTTTCCCCAAACCAAAATGAGTTTTTGTCCCAAAATGATGCAAAATCCAAGAATATTTTCCCAATTTTTCATAAAAACACTCCTTTATTTTATTAAGGGATAGGCTGCTGTTAAATCAAGGTGGAAAAAACACCATGTTTTGTATACATGTATACAAGAATGATGTAAGAACTTAAATGAAGAATAGCCAATTACAATTTTAAGGTCAGAGGTTAAAGTTGGGGGCACAGAAATTCTAAGGTCAAAGGTCAAGAAACACAGACAAATTGAAAAACTCGATTACTGTATTTTCAGGACTGAATCTCAAAAGTATGGACAGAAAATATCATTTGGGATGAAAACTGACATTGGTTCACCAGCTTTTCACCTTCTATTGGAATCCCATTGGTTGCAAGGATTTTTCTATGTCAAAGATTATGAGAATTAATCCTGAAACTCCTTGAAAATCTCTATGTCTTGAAAACATTGATTTAGCCGAGTAATTTTAATACCATATTTGTGTAAGGAAACAAAATTAATTTGCCCATATAAATTGAAGTCAGAATGATTCACCTTACTTATTCAAATGCTCTGTTTTTTTTCCAGGTCTTTGATCCAAAACCAAATAAAAAGGAATGGTTTATCAATCACACGGGCCACTCACTTGACAATCATTAGATACATTACAGGTAACTTGATATACAGAATAAGATGCTCACACATCCAATATATCAAGACTGATCCATTTAAACATTGTCCATTTTGTTTTTGAAATCTCCCCATGTTGCAGAGTAGTGGAAATATCACTCCAGGTTTCCAATGGGAAATTTTGTTTCAGTCATACGAAATGTTTTAGTGTGAAGTGATCTGGTCAAATTAAGTGACACAGGTTTTCATTCTATTTTGTTCTACTACTTCTTCATGGGCCTGATTTATACCTTGTTTTGTAAATTTTCTCATAGATAGTGATATTAGTTCTTGTTAAATGTATAGGATTTACATAATTTCCCTACAAAAATAGGCTTATATTTCTTGTGTGAAAAAATGAGATTATTTTAATAATTTTTGATAAAATGCAATACTTTTAAGTTGGTGGCAATATTTGTCACTTCAACAAAAAAAAAATTTTTTTTTCTTAAAGTGAAACTCCACCGATTCAAATGTCATTTAAAAGCATCCCAAAAAACGCTGGTTAGTTACAAAAATATCCGGTATCAGGTGAGAACAAATGCATTAATTTATTCAGCCATAGATCTTTTTCAGGAAGACTTTTGAAATTGATGTTATATATAGCTAGATGAATAATATATAGACTTTTATTTTCTTTGAAAAAAATTCCCATAATTCTTCTACTTTTGACAATATAAAGTGCTGTGTTACCAATCATAGGGATTATATTTCAAATATGTGATTTTTATAAATATGTGTTACATTGTTATGCTGAAGGTGCACAGATGATGTCTTAGAAAAACACAAATAGCCAAGATACTACTACTACAAGAGTTTGGGAGAGTTGCGGACAAATCCCTACAAGACATCCAAATAGAAGGTTTGTTTCCTTTGAATCAGATTTATGGTGCTTCAATTCAACTTATCAATAACAAAATTTTTACTAATCCAAAGAATATTTCAAAAATTTTTTTTTTATCTGTACATCAATCTTAAGTCCTATTATTGTTTGCTGCTCTGACACACCAGAGAATCATTTCTATTATAATAAAAGTTTGAATTCAAATATTTTAGTAATGAAAAGTACACAAGTTCTAGTGAAAACAGATTCTTTCTTGGACCTCCTTCATCTTTTCTGAATAACCTGAAAACACTACTTTGTTATCACCAGGCTTAGTAATTGCCTCTTACCTTCATGACCTAGACCCAGTATTGGTTTAAAACAATTAAGTAGAAATAAAATGACTGAAGTGGCCATTATTATATGAAGCTATCTTTATTACAGACCTTATCCAGGAGTCATCATTCGCGGAACTGGATGAATATGAGGATTTACACGATATGACATCACCTGACATTGTAGGTGCCATTGAGCCATGTGATTTTTCTGTGTTAGATATCGCCAAAAAATTTTATGATGAATACATATCGAAGCCCATAAAAAAACGAAAGTCTGCTGCTCTTCAAAAAACGGAAAAATACGGCCAACACCACATCAATGTGGGAAAGCAATTGACCTAAGCAGGGTTAATAATGGAGAAATTTGTACTGGAAAAAAACTCTTCAGAATTGTGGATAAACTGAATGTTGGTTGGAAACCTAAAACTGTTTCATGCTATTTCTGCTGTTCAAATTTGTAGAAAAGCTGATTGTGGGTCAGAAACCTACCATAAATAGATGTTCTTTTTCATCATTGGGGAGCAGTTTGTAGACAATGGATTGATCTAAGTTCTAATGTGAAATCATTTATTACCAACTTTTTATTAACATTGTCAAACATGGCGCAGGCATTAAACATGGCTTTATGTTGTGAATACTTAATTTTGACCACTTGTTTTATATCATAATTTTTTAACATCTTGTGCATCCGTTGTTATTCCTTCATACAACAGTCTTGAATTAACTAGGATCAATGTGTGTATATCGTAGTACAGTTTTGTATAGAAATTCTGGATTAGTGTTTTGTATATATTTATAATGTACAGCACCATTTTGTGGAGAACTTTTATACACAAAAAAAAAACAACATTCAATGGAGTTACTTTTATTTTTCAAGTTGTTGATACCAAAAATCTAAATGATTAAAGTATTTTTAAAAAGCAAGAAAAAGCAAATGTAGATGGTATCTTGTATGAATTTAGTCTCTGATGAAAAATCACTTGCAAGCATTGAAACAGTTTTTAATCAAAAGGAAGAAAAATGTGAAGTTTTTAATAAAAAGGAAGAAAAATGTGCCAATACTATTTGTAGATAACAAGTACGATATTCACATTGAATTGACCAAGGATAGATGGATTTCTAAGTTTGCAGTATTTCAATATGCTCAGCATGTAAAATTCCTGTCAAGAATGTTTGATAAAATGAATTACCTTGACCCATTTTCAAGGTCACAAGGATAAATGTTTAATAATCTTAAAATGATTTCTTCTCAATATCGAAAAAGTTCTGATAACCGGCCCGTAGTATGCTGGAATGAATTGCCATTTATGATCGTTATTTATATTTTCACTTTTTAAAGGTCACAGGGGTCAAATTTGTTAAAATCTTTGATATTAGACTTCTTGTCAATAACAAAAACGCCAAGGCTGTTGAAATTGGTTTTTCGATGTTAGTGGATGAAGGACAATCGTTTTCAAATAATGGACCTTGACCTATGTTAAAGATCTCTTGGGCAAAGTGAGTTGTGATTTTTTTTTTTTTTTTTTCAATTAGCAATAGGTTCTGAATAATGGCATTTGTGTAGTAGCATGTAAAAAGAATATGAGTTTAATTTTGCAGAAAATGTTTTTATGACCAAACAGTATCATCTTTGTATGCTGTAGAGTAGTTGAGCAGTTTATCATAGGCTTATTTGTCCTCTTTCATATATAGGTCTATATATTCAGATGACTTAAGGCCAATGGGCCTCCTGTTTATAAAACATTGGCTGGGTAGTTGCTATAATTAAACAGCATTTCATACTAGATAGTAAAGAGTTGTTAAGAATTTCTTGCATTTTGCCCATCTATTGTAAAACAAGATACATTTTTTACTTCTTTTGAAAACCCCTGAGCCAATTTTAATGAAATTTGGTAGATATTTTCATGGCCAATGGAATGAAGTACAATGTCTCCAAAGTAGGGGACTTTGGCAGTGTCGAATTGAATCAAATTTTCGAAAATCTCCACAACACTCAGATATATAAGAATCAAATACTTTTCATAGATGGAAGGGTTTTTGAGATGCTTTAACCCAAATTATGAATTTCATGATCTTTCCCTTGTGGAGGGGTATTAAGTCAGCTTATATAGATTTTTTTTCTAATTCAAAATCTATTAGACTCCATAATATAGGATGACAGTGAACTATGTTAACAAGATGTTTATGTGATATATATAACACAACACAAACAATGTTTATGGAATTCAGCTGACTGTTAAGACCATTGGGCCTTTTCTTTTCTCAAGACACTATCATGCAGTGTTGAAATTTTGGTTGAAGAATTAAAAGATTTGATATATGAGTTAGGTTACTACCAAATAGTTCTACCTTTTTTGAAATTCTTTTATGGTGTCCAGATCTGGAAAAGTATATTTTCAATTTTTGTCATTTTTAGATCATCTGACCGTGGGTAAGGTTTTCTAGTCAGATGACCTTATGGCCCATGGGTCTCTTGTTTATGTTAAAAATTTGAATTTACAATTATGTAAGAATACCTTTGTTTATGCGTGTTCATGAGTGTAATTTGATCTTCATGTTCACACTCTGAACCCGTTTTGTAATTTTCTTTGTACCATGATTAAAAATGGATCATTTACAAAAAACAGTTTTCTTCATTTATATTTTTGATGACTGCAATACCCGAGTTTAATTTGTAAATTCTTGGAAGACTTGTCCATAATTGTGGGCTTCAACCACTGTTGTATTCAAGAAAATGACGGTCAGGAATATCTGAGGTGATTCGTCCGGTTATCAATATCCGAGGCGATTCATCCATGACATCTAGGATGACTTGTCCATAATTCTTGGCTTAAATTACTATTAAATTCAGGAAGTTGCCGACTGTTATATCTGAAGTGAATTGTCCGATTGGCAATATCAAGAGGTGATTCATCTGTGATGTTTTGGGATGACTTGTACCTAATTGTGAGCATCAGCTGTTCCAAACCGTCCGTGAAGTCTAAAATGACCTGTCCATAATCCACCATATTTTTAACAAAGACACAATTTATAATTCATTCTCTCATGAAAACTGTGACACAGATATTGTATTTGAAAAACGTCGTTTATCATTTATTGGAGGCAGTATTCGTGCATAATATATTTCATTATTTGTTCTACATATTGATGTGGTGAATTTTCTTTTTCTTCGTAGTAACAAAAGTGATACGGGGCGCACCTCGTACATTTGGATTAATATCCACAGTTTTAAAAGGTGCACCACAAAATGTCCTACAATTTTCATGCAAATTTCCCCCGACACCGGATTTCTTTTTGTAATCAAACGCTTCTAAAGCAATGATGTCATCTGGTCAAGAACCACCTTAAATGAAATCAAAATCAAATATGGCAACCTGCTGGCCATTTTGTTTTTCCAAGCAGTTCAAAGATGCAAAATTTGAGAACGATCAATCCAGTGCTTCTGACAACCTAAGGTAAAAATATAAAATATTTTCTTGTAGCAATAACAAAGTTCAACTTCTGAAATCTAACATTGCCTTTGTGGTGATTTTGTTTCTGTCTGCTTCATCAACGATACCTGCCATTTAACCTTGGGTCAATTTAAATAAGTAATGCCACTTTCTCAAATGAGAACAAGGTATACAACAATGGAACCAACAGGCAAACTAACGAGCATACAACACATCCAGCTCCATATCACGCAAGGACATAGAATATTTCTTAAGGAGATCACTATGGCGACCATAAAACTTCTCCATAATTTTTCAACCTGCATCTTTTGAAATCTTGTGTTATGAGTTTGTGCGTCAGTTGACGACTTCTTGCACAAAAATCATGATAATGGGAACAGGCCCTTGAATATCAAATCAATTGCGGCATGTAAACACCATCGGTTGGGGATGCAGGGATGTGTTGGTTTCGTTGCAGGAAAAGATTGAGATAAGCAGCTGATGAAGATTATGTCATTTCTTTGATTTTGAACATAAAATTTGAAAAGATTGAACAAAAACAACTAAGGACTGAGGAGACTCTACAGGCGAAATTTGAAAAAGATCCACACTGCATTTGTCAAGATAAAACAAGAACGGATTAAGAACTGAAAGATGGATGACAGATTAAGCATGAAGAGTGATTAGAAAAGCTTACATTATCTGACGATTGTGGGCTAAAAGACCAGACATAATAAAATGTCATAAAAAAGTATTTTGTTTAAGCGTCTTCATATATCGACATCATATCCCTACAAATGAGCAATACAATTGTAATAAAACATACCTTATACAAAATGAAAGTTTAAAAATCAGCTGTTAGTGCTTGTGTACGGAAATTTACATCAATGCTAAAATGCAACAAAAAGTTACAGAAAATAAGACCGACACATATTTATCATATAATTAACATCAAAATCCATAGCATCAACAACTGTTTGTTTTCATGTGATCACCGGAAATCTTATGTCTAGCAGCTATAAACACCAGTAGTTACAGATTCCTGCTAGTTATAATGCTGTTCCTTTCTTGTATTGTAACAATGAACAAACTGACATGAAGCTTTTCCAAGATAATTGGAAACTTCCATGGACTGTCTCTATGGTAATGTACATGGGAATTTGCCATGATGACTGTAAACTTCCATGGACTGTCTCTATGGTAATATACATGGAACTTTTCCAAGATGACTAAACTTCCATGGACTGTCTCTATTGTAATATACATCAAACATGGTAATTGGTTATTTTTCATGAAAATACAATATTTTTATATAAGATCAATGTTTATTGTGGATCAACTATAAACAAAAAAGCTGGATCATGTTACAGAAGGAAATATGACAGGATCATTTTCAGTAATCCAAGTGAAATATGTCCATCAGCTGCACGACAACTTCCAAGTACTCATTGGAGCATGATAAGCATTTCCCTCCAAACTTTCTACATTTTGTTTTTTTTTTACAAAATGCTTTACGAGGTCAAACAGATTCTTGTGTAGAATAGTTTGAATGTTTCTGTTTTCACACTTGTCCTCCAATAAGAATATACCATACAGGATATAGGTAAAATATAAGTAAAATTTTCTTGGAACATTTTGTGAATTCTGACTCCAGTCAGACTAGGAAATATTGATGAAATTTCTAATTAACCCTTTCGGCGCCAATCTATCTCTTTCCGCAAAATATCTGAAAACATCGGAAAAATTGTCGACCAACGTCGCGTTTGGCGGCCTGTCTGCATGTCGACTTTAGTCGCCTATGACGCCGAAAGGGTTAAGGTCTGTAATCTTCCATACCAAAATACTATTGCACATATAATCATTTTGAAGTCTGTGATTTCATTTCTGGACTATTTGTATCATCTTCACTTTTACCCTCACTACTTTCATCTGTATCACTGCTACTCTGTCTATGCTTATCATTCATCAAAATTTGGCGAACGTCTGTTAGTGCATAACCCAGGAGATTTTTGCCTCTCCATGTACTTTTGTTCCAAGCCAGTTTGTTGCCTGATGCAAGCCCAATTCCCCAAATACGATCACGTGGACTTGCCTCCACCAGTATCTTAGGATGTGTATCAAGCAATTTCTTTTGGAGATGGCTGTTCTGGGAGAACTGAAAAAAGAGAATGAGAGATTAAAAACGACAAAAACCAAACAATAACCTAGAAAATTGATTGTACTCAGAAAATATGAATGCTAAGTAGTATGACTATTATAGAAATTAATGTATATATAACATATATCATGTAGTGAAGAAGATTTAGCCCGGGCAAGAAACTGTAGTATATTAGCAGATATCATGAAGTGAAGAAGATTTAGCCCGGGCAAGAAACTGTAGTATATTAGCATATATCAAGTAGTGAAGAAGATGGCCCGGGTAAGAAACTTTAGTATATCAGCATATATCATGTAGTGAAGAAGGTTTAGCCCGGGCAAGAAACTGTAGTATATTAGCATATATCATGTAGTGAAGAAGGTTTAGCCCGGGCAAGAAACTATAGTGGAAGAATGGCAGGATGGATGGACACAACAAACTAAACCAACCCCCCTCAATATCTGGATCCCAGTCAAGGAAAAAAGCCTGACAAAGTGACCAAGGAAACCACTGCAAGTTACATTGTTATCAGGCTAAGAAATTAAAAAATACACATTTATGTATTAAATATAATCGTGTTCTAAAATATTAATTTCGTGTGATTAGGTTCATGTTGACTTTACCTTTGCTATATTTCCTTTTTTAACAACATCCACACACTTGGCACTCCAAACTTCTGGGACAAAGTTTCTAACCTTGCGTCCCAATTTCTTCTGTGCAAAAGGTTTAGCTGCCTTCATTATAGCCTTGGCATTTTCCTCGTCTTTGAATGTCACTGATATACAACAAAAAACAAAAGCATTACGAGGTATGTAAATCTATATGTGTTCAGAGAAATATCTGTTCATTCTATATGTAAGAAGATTGTGTCTACACAAGTGTTAAGAATTTATCATCCTGCACAAATATATTTCACTTGGTAATGAAATATCTGTTAACATGGTGCTATAATTCTTAATTATACAAGTGATCTCATTTAATGGTCTAAAAAATTTCTGATTACAAGTCAGACTATAAATTTTCTCTCTCTAAAAAGGTAACCATAATTTTGTGTGCTCCATTTTATGTGTTCTCACATGATGTAGGTTCTGTTTAAACAAAAAGGAGAGCAGAAAAATGTGCGTGAGACAGCGCATGCCTCTAACTTATCATTAACTTGAAAAAATATGAAGTAATTTTTATTCAAGAATAATACATGTTTTCTGATCAATTGTTTATGCATGCTACATACACCATCTACACTTAGTGCAGTATTGATAACAAAATAATTTTTAACAAGAGTATGCCAGTATATTTGTCAATGGGAAAATGACGAGTGTTGTGAGCTAATATTACTGAATTAATTCATAATAAATAATGCCTGTCTCCTCTGCTAGAAAGTGGTGGTCTGAGAAATCTGACGGAAGGTCCTAAAAGATGGTGATGTGACCGTCACCTCTAATTAAACCCTCACAAATGATTAACTTACAAGCCTTCTGGTGCATCATGTACTGTTCAGCACAGTTGTACTGAACACCATCAACCTTAAACACAGCAGGATGAAACTGGCTAAAAGGTGAAGCCTCCTTCCAGAAAAACTCAAAATCTTCCTTCTTTGTCCCTGCAGGTAGCTTTGTTGATGATTTTCCCTTGACAAACATATCCAGCTTGACCTGTTTAGAAGAAGAGGCTGCCTGGTCTTTCATGGAACCACTTCCAGCAGCTTAGAGGAAAATATTTCAAAAATAAAGTGTTCATGTGCAAGTTTAGCAAACTCTGGTGATGGTGATCAATTGTCTGTTCCAATAGATATTAAAACATAAGACAGGGGCCTGTAGTATTTCTTTAAATTTTCAGTTAGGACGAAGTATAATTGGTTAATCAGCCAAAACAGTTGAATTTTATGCAACTCTGACAAAACACAAAATGTAGTTCAACATCTCGAAAATCTCATAAACAGTGAAATTGCCTAACAACCATTGCCAAAGGAGCTCCTTTATTAATTTTCTAAAGGTAGATGAGATGATAGGAATGTCAAAATTTAATGCTTAATATAATTGATGCATATTTGTGTAACCCTGGTAAAATACTAGCCGCAATATACCACTCGGCTAGGGAGAACTTCTCTTTAGCTCGATTTGTTGAGCGTCAGACTAGTGAGCCAGGGGTCCTGAGTCGATTCCTAGCGGAGGCATTGAGATGAAAAATGACCTCTGTTACATTGGCGCCCATGTAGGGACCCGGGATTAGTACTTAGCCATGCCCCACCAGCATCGCTGTAACCCCTGGAAACTCGAGGACGAGTTATTTCCTGGAGGGGGAGTATGTAACCCTGGTAAAATACTAGCCGCAATATACCACTCGGCTAGGGAGAACTTCTCTTTAGCTCGATTGGTTGAGCGTCAGACTAGTGAACCAGGGGTCCTGGGTTCGATTCCTAGCGGAGGCATTGAGATGAAAAATGACCTCTGTTACATTTGTACTTGTACAGCATCTACATCAAACATTTTATGCATTGCTACGAAAATATAATGGTGATCTGGGGTTGGAGGTGGGGCCTTAGTTCTTCATAAAAGTTTTATTGATCATTACGTCAATGAACAATCCCTAATATCTATATGTTCGGCGTCAAAACAAGAGGGACATTTTCCCGACAGAGACCAACATATTGCTGTAAAGTATAATAATAACAATAAGAGAACGTGCATGCCAGTTTGCTGGTCGTTGGTAGCTGCTGTTACTAGTCTTTATAACATTAAGGTATCTTCTATGTGATAATGAGATACAACATGAGCATGACTACATTTATTTCAAATCTAAATTTCAGATATAGTAACGATATTTCACAAAACGAAAGTAGAAAATACATCGAATGTAGATGAGAGCGACTTTTAAATGAAAAGTATGTTCTTTGTTTATTTACCCCTTTTTGTCGAAGCCATGCTTGTTTTTCTATTATATGAAGCGTTCGAAGCACAGAACAACAATCGTCTTCTGACCATTCGGTTATCGCATGTTTAAGTGAACGTCTGTAATAGTCATAGAAGTGTTGCAACCTAAAAGCAAAATAAAAGATGAAACGGATGACTGCAAAACATGTACGGATTAAATTAACAAAACGAAATATATAAATAAAGATATTATTGAAAAATGCACAATTACCCTTTTCTGTGATGATATTTTATTGTTAGTAATATGCTATCACCATCTTATATAAAATTGAATTAAAATACAGATATGCAATAAAATATGTTTGCAAAATTTACATCCGGATCCATTTTCATCAAAAAATTACTTCACACACGCCTTTGAAACTCCTTCCGTTTGGAAGTAATACTGTTGCATTCATTTGTGCAAGAGTATGAAATTCCAATAAGAAATGTAATAAGATCTATTTATAGTTTTTTTCACTCATAATATTTCAATGATTCTGAGATGTAATCGAAGTCTAGCGATGGTTTGACATGAATGAGAGGTAAGAATCTCATATAATTTACATCTTGTTGATACATGTCAGTGAAAACGAAAGTAGAAAAGTGAAACATCTGCTTTCAGTAGTTTCATGCCATCCTCTGTCATTATACAAATCTTGTTGCATGTTTTATATATCCGAGTTTGAAGCGTTAACTCTTCTGTTTTTTGGGAATGACTTGATTTGTGAAAGGAAATCTTATTGGAGCTCCAGTGGATCATATGAAGTCAGGGGATAGAAATTCCCTCAACTGAAATTCGAGATCAGGGACGACATTTATCAATAGATACGTTCATGCAAAGATATATTGGTACAATGTTGACATGTTACTGGAACAGTTGTAGAAATAGAGAGTACTGAATAGTGCATACAATGTATATCCATGAGTCTCCCTTAGTAGGAATTTACCTTTAAAGCAGTTAAGGTTCTGGTAAGAGTGAGAGGTCAGTAATCAAGACCTGGGAAGATAGCAGGGATGGGGGACACATTTTCCTTTTCTCTTTCCTTTTACATGTCATAGTTACATAATTGCAGAAGGAATTGCATGTACTTATGAGGTTCATATAACCTCAGGTGAAGACTGGAGACATATGGTTCAATGCTCCCTACTAGTTCACGTTTCTTTGTAATCTGAGAAAAAGGCCTATCAGTGTTGGTGTTGTTGTGTAGTTGGGTAAGACACTCTACCCTAATTGCTGTGGATGGCATGTAGTGGGCCTCCTGTATGTTGTTCAGTAAAGTCGATGCCAGCTCAAAATTACATAGGTTGTTCATGACAGATAACCAATGTAGAGCATACTTATTTGCTCAGAGGTGTACAGGGTGAGATAGTCGTGAAATCACAGAACGTTTTGACTATAGTGTTAACATATATGTACAAAGATGAAAAATAGTGTGACAAGATGCAAGACAAGTTGAATATCATTTCCATCCTGAGCATTGGGTACAGCATTGTAAATAAACTTCACACAGGATATTTGTTTGATGAAGATGAGAGTGTAGTCATCACAATGTTGCACATAATTTTATAATTGGTTGTGATTTAAGTAGTTCTATTCAATGTATACATTACCAACCCAAAGAAAATGTTTCAAATCATTTCACTTTTGTTTACAGGTAGTCAGTCTGACCAAACAAAACCTGTAGAGAGAAGAAAGGTGTCATTTTACTTCTATAAAAATATTGAAAATTAAAAACATCATGAGTTATTCAGATGCAGTATTACATGGTAGTAAATTGAGAGATACAGCTCCAAAAGGAAATACAGGCATTTATCCTCAATTACCAGATAAAGAAGACGACTATCCAGCTCTGCCTTCTAAAACACTTGCTGAAGCTAATACTAATAATATTCCAACTGCATCTAGTCCTACCACTGGGTCTCACAGAGAGGACAGCCAAAAGGGTAGCAGGAAGGATATTTTAAACCAGAAACATATAGTACCAGATACTAGCCATGCTAAACAGGGCAAAAATCAACAACAATGCAAGGTGGGTAATGAACAAAGAGTTTCAGGTCTGCAAGACATTGGTCAAGCACTGGTTAAGTCTATTTCACAAGATAGTGATTCACAAGAAGATGGTCAGAAGCATGAAATACCTGAAAGGAGTGATTTTAACTATGGACCAAGTGACACAACTGATGATAGAGACCAAGATCCACAAAATATACAACCTAGTGGTGAACAACAAAGTTCTGTCTTTCGACAAGACACCAATCCTTTGGCAGGTACTAATAGACAGGTAGACAATCGCACAAATCTGTCTCAGGCAGGTGAGCAATCTGATGGTTCTAGAAGATATCCTATACAGGGCCAAGGAAGCAATAAGGGAAAAGGCCAAAGCGACAGATTTCAAGATTCTAGAAAAGATTGCATAGAGACAGAAGCAGCTAACGTTCAAGGAAATTTGGATACCAAGGACCAAAATAGGGGTCCAGGCTTAAAAGATCAAGAAATGAATCAGAAAACATCTTTTCAACAGAGCAACCAGAAAAGATATAATGACCATTCGAAGGAGTATAAATATTATGATACAAAAGATAATTCATATTCATATCAGTCTAAAACGCAAGAGGAAGATTCCATGTCAGGTGCCAGACCACGAGATAACCATCAAAGAAAGCATGGCAGAGGGCCACAGCAGGAATCAACAGAGTGGGTTGAATATGGCGAGGAGGCACAGGAAATTGATCCTGTACTCAAAGAGAGGTTCAAAGATGACAACCAGTCTAAATTTGAATACTTCTGGAAGAATGAAGATATCTACAGTCAATGGCATAGAACCAAATTTACAGTTGATGACAAAACCTACACATCTACAGAGCAGTTCATGATGCATAGGAAAGCAAGTAAGTGTCTAATATACAAATATAATTGGAATTTATAGTAAACCAGATAATATTTCATTTGCTAAGATGTTGGTAACCAAAATTAGAAATAACAATTTGCTGGACTTGAGCACTTTATGATAAACATGATTTCCTTGATTGTAAAAAGAAAAAAATTGATTTGTTATGCAAAGTTTTATGTCAGGACCCACAATATCAAATTATCAAATAATAAATTGTCACAGAAATGTTTTTTTCAGATTTTTTTTTTTTTTGTTAAAAAAAGGGTTAATCATGTGATTTATCTTATATTACTCTAAAATAAAAACATATAGTGTGATATTTTTGACCGATATTGTTTGATAAACTAAATATTGATAGAAAACATTAGTGTCTATGTACGAAGAACTTGAATTCATTTTCAGTATTGTTCGAAGACTACAAGACCGCCAGCAAGATTATGCAGACCCAAGATCCCAGGAGACAGAAGAAGCTCGGTCGTCAGGTACAGAACTTCGATGAGGATTTATGGAAAGCTAACTGTGAGGCAATTGTGGAGGAAGGAAACACAGCAAAGGTTGGTGTATTAGTTCTGAATTAGTCAGGAATACTGAGGTTGATGTAGGGGTCCTGAATTAGTGCCTGGTTAGTCAGGAATACTGAGGTTGGTGTAGTGGACCTAAATTAGTGCCTGGTTAGTCAGGAATACTGAGGTTGGTGTAGTGGACCTAAATTAGTACCTGGTTAGTCAGGAATACTGAGGTTGGTGTAGTGGACCTAAATTAGTGCCTGGTTAGTCAGGAATACTGAGGTTGATGTAGGGGTCCTGAATTAGTGCATGGTAAATGAGGAATAATGAGGTTGATGTAGGGGACCTGAATTAGTGCCTGGTAATTGAGGAATAATGAGATTGATGTAGGGAACCTGAATTAGTGTCTGGTTAGTCAGGAATACTGAGTTTGGTGTTAGGGACCTGAATTAGTGCCTGGTTAGTCAGGAATACTGAGGTTGGTGTTAGGGACCTGAATTAGTGTCTGGTTAGTCAGGAATACTGAGGTTGGTGTTAGGGACCTGAATTAGTGCCTGGTTAGTCAGGAATACTGAGGTTGGTGTAGTGGTCCTGAATTAGTGTCTGGTTAGTCAGGAATATTGAGGTCGGTGTAGGGGACCTGAATTAGTGCGTGGTTAGTCAGGAATACTGAGGTTGATGTAGGGGACCTGAATTAGTGCCTGGTTAGTCAGGAATACTGAGGTTGATGTAGGGGACCTGAATTAGTGCCTGGTTAATCAGGAGTACTGAGGATGGTTTTGATATCAGATTACTTAATGAAAAATACAGTCACAACTTGAGTGAGCTGGTTGGTAAGCTGGTGAAACTTCATTCTGTGATAAGTGATTGAAATTGATTGACTATACTTTAATTGTCTAAAGGAGGTCAAAGGTGATGTTCACTCACAGGAATTAGTTTTTGAAAGATAATCAAAATTCCTTTTGTTCAATATTTTGAGTTCCTTGTGTCAACATCTTACAGAACTTGGGTGCTTACTTACTGAAAGAGCTTGTTGTAGGTAGTTTTTCTTACAGGCCAGATCTATTAGCAAGCAAGGTGACTGATACCCACTCCTGTAGAGTGTTCATTCTTTCACAATATACTTCATTGTATGAAGAAGTTCTCAATGATGCTGATGGTTGATTGAAATTAGTAATTGCTAATTGTAGAACAAAATGTCAAATTTTGAAATGAATTTGGTATTTTTGTATGATTACATACATTATTTGTAATTACATTGTATGATGATATATACATGTATGTATGTAATTTATTTGTAATTACATTGTATGATGATATGTACATATATGTATGTATGTAATTCATTTGTGATTACATTGTATGATGATATGTACATTCATGTATGTAATTTATTTGTAATTACATTGTATGATGATATGTACATATATGTATGTACATTATTTGTAATTACATTGTATGATGATATGTACATTCATGTATGTAATTTATTTGTAATTACATTGTATGATGATATGTACATGTATGTATGTACATTATTTGTAATTACATTGTATGATGATATGTACATTTATGTATGTACATTATTTGTAATTACATTGTATGATAATATGTACTTTAATGCTTTATTGTTAATTACATATTTGTTTAATTGCAGTTTCAACAAAATGTACACTTGCTAAACATCTTGTTTTCAACCAATCCTAAAATCCTTGTTGAAGCTAGCCCTTTGGATAGAATCTGGGGGATTGGTCTCTTCTCAGATGATCCAAATGCATGGAACAGAGCCACCTGGTGTGGAGAAAATAAACTAGGAAAGGTACTGACCAGAGTCCGAAACAAACTGATGTTACAAATGAATTTGATTACGAAGGAAGAACGTGACAGGCAAATCGCTGAATTGGAGCGATAATTACTCAAAAATTACTGCTGATCCACACACTCTCTGTAAAAGATATTTGTAATGGCAATTAATGCACTGTACTTTTTTTGGCCAGTGTCCTGTTTTTTAATATTGAGCTGGTAATTATATGTGAAAAAGTTACATTAACTAGTTCCTGCTCTTCAATGCAATATTCTGGTTTTGACACGGAACAGTATAGTAAATCTGCTATATGGTATCTTTTCTTTTCTATGTTCATATATGTTTTCTAGAGTTTCTAAATATGCATGATATCTAGACAAGTGCATTAATATCAAAGATATCAAATAGAAACAGAGTGGATATCTGACAAAGAAAGCATATCTGTCAGAAGTGGAGTGGATATCTGACAAGGAAAGCATATCTGTCAGAAGTGGAGTGGATATCTGACAAAGAAAGCATATCTGTCAGAAGTGGAGTGGATATCTGACAAAGAAAGCATATCTGTCAGAAGTGGAGTGGATATCTGACAAAGAAAGCATATCTGTCAGAAGTGGAGTGGATATCTGACAAAGAAAGCATATCTGTCAGAAGTAGAGTGGATATCTAGCATAAAGTTACAGAGGAGATCTTATCCAACCAAGGGAAAAAATTATTGATTGTAAAACAGAGTGAAATTTAAATAATTACTGGGTCCATTTGTAGGCTCATATACCTGTATGTATATTATATGTATAATAATTTAGTATGGATCTTTTGTATAATAGATAAATCTTTTGTATAATAGATAAAGCTTTTGTATGATAGATAAATCTTTTGTATAACAGATGAATCTTTTGTATAATAGATAAATCTTTTGTATAATAGATAAAGCTTTTGTATAATAGATAAATCTTTTGTATAATAGATAAATCTTTTGTACATAGATAAAGCTTTTGTATAACAGATATATCTTTTTATATAATAGATTTTCTTGAACTTATACAATGCATGACAAAATGTCTAAATGTCTCATTATAAAGATAACCTCTGCTTTAAACTGGTTTTTAAGACAATTTAACGGATTGCCTTTAATCAACAGTTTTTATATACATGTAGTTGATCTTTCACAAATTTCTCTTTTTTTATCAGATTTTTGAAAGAAATATTCAAAAACTTTTCATTTTACCAGAAAATTTTGTGATATATGTAAAATTGTGATATTTTTTGATAATTCAAGATAAAATAAACATTATGAGTGTCTGAGCAGTGTTATGATGTAATAAATATTCAATTGACAAAGCAATCTCACAAAAAATTGTGACATCACAATAAATGACAGAGAATTAAGGAACAAACTCAATTTTGAATATTTCATTGCTAAGATCACAAATGATAATTTACCTACGGACATGAAGAGACTATCATGTTTAAGTACCAATTAATTTCATAAAATGTCTACTTATATACCTAAAAAATATAAAGGTAAAAATAGTCTTTTCATGTACTTCATCTAAAAAGGTTATTTTTCTTGGTGTTTTTCTGTAATTCACCATTATGTCAACTTTTATGTTTATTTCTATACATGTGAAACTATCTTTTAATGATTCACACAAGTGGCAGCATTTTTTTTTTTGTCAGTTGAGAGTGTTAGCCAAATACTTAATGAACCATTATAATTGCAATACTGATAATGGTAAGTAATATTCCCTAATGAAATTTTCAGGTTTTATTCACAGAGTAGGTTGTTTACATGTTTCCAATCCATTTGGGTTTTGACCGTGTTGTTGTCACTGTGAGAATTACATTTTAGATTTTTAGTGAGGACTCTGTATACCGATACCATTCATGGTCTTTCCCGGATATATTTCACCGATCTTCACAGACAGAGGGACGTTGTGCCTCCAACCCATTGCTGTGTATTCTCTGATGAATTAAAGTAGTATATTGGAATAAAGTGAAACATTTATGTAAAGCACTGACAGACATTTTTACTATATCACAAGTTTATACCAGAGGTTAGAATATTGACCAATTAAAACTTTCCTGTTTTTTTTTAGTAATGTATTTTCTGTTGTATACGGCTACATTGACATAGTTGATGTAATCACTAACAGGAACACATTAAAGATAAAACCCCTCAAACAGTAAATTTACACTAGGTCAGATTTAAATTAAAAACCCAAATAGAAAGGAAACCATTCAAAGTTTTATTCCCAGCAGGACTTAATTTTGAAGATTTCAGTCAAAAGTGCTTCACAACTTCTGTTCTAAATAAGGATTAAAGGAAAACAGAATCAGTACAAAGATATAGGTTTTCCAAATGCTCCAGAGTTCCGCTGAAATTATTCTCATAGTATGTTAATAATGTATCTAGAAATTTAAGTAAATTTCTTTGATTGGAAACACTGATAATGGTTAATTTTCATCTATTAAATGGAATTTGTTAAAGGAAATGTAACTCAACTTTTCATGCAAATTTGAGTTGAAAGGTCATGGTCATTTACTAAAGATAAACAATGGTTTCTATGTAAATTACATGCTTACTAGACTAAACTTAATATATTCTAATTAAATAAATCTCTTTACTTTTTAGTAACATCAATATAATTTCATTAAAATGAATGTTCTATCATAACATACAAAATCTGTAGGATTAATGGAAAATTAACGTAAATGTAATGTTAAATGACACAATTTGTGCTTATCTTAATTTCATTAATCCATTTCGATATTTTTGATATGATTATATTTTGAGAAATCCTCGTCAACTTGGATCAACCTTAATTACACAAAACCTGACTCTTAAAGGGTAGGCGGGGTTGCCTGTTTCCTGGATCTACCCGAATTTGTTACAAAAAGTTTATCTGAGACTGATCTTCTTTGATCCCACTCACTAACTAGTGTGTGGTTGTTATTATGATCACTTTCGTATGTCTTTAACACAGAAACTGCCCTTGTTTCCTTCTTCTGTGATCATCCAAACACTGCTGTGATAATGATTTTTTATCACCTGTTGTTGAGAGATACATACATGTCAATCTAATTCTGTTTTTGTATTTTATCATTCATACAGTAGTTTGAGTAATAGATTGTATATTTATCTTTCATTATACATAAATTATCACACAGTCCAAACAGCTCGGAGTCAAAACTGCTGATAACAAAGACTAGAGCACTGACCGGATTGTCCATACAACTGATAAGTCAAAACAGACCACATGGTCCAGACAATTAGTCAGAATCAAAACAACTGATCAAAAGAACTAGAGAGATGACCTTAGAGTTAAGACAACCGTTTAAATTTCAAAGTCAAAACAGCTGATCACAAGGACTAGAAAAATTACCAACATATTGGCCATGCGACTTTTCACATCTCCAGAACATTCAACTGCAGACCCAGAAATGTGGATGCTGGTCACAAATAGTACTTTATTTCTAGTCATTAGATATTTGCTACATTAGGACATTGTCTGCAGGTCACAAGGACAAGGAGGCTGACTATATGGTCAAACAGACACCAGGTCGTTGTCTGCAGGTCACAAGGACAAGGAGGCTGACTATATGGTCAAACAGACACCAGGTCGTTGTCTGCAGGTCACAAGGACAAGGAGGCTGACTACATGGTCAAACAGACACCAGGTCGTTGTCTGCAGGTCACAAGGACAAGGAGGCTGACTGCATGGTCAAACAGACACCAGGTCGTTGTCTGTTGGTTACAAGTACAAGGAGGCTGACTACATGGTCAAACATACACCAGGTCGTTGTCTGGAGGTTACAAGGACAAGGAGGCTGACTACATGGTCAAACAGACACCAGGTCGTTGTCTGCAGGTCAAAAGGACAAGGAGGCTGACTACATGGTCAAACAGACACCAGGTCGTTGTCTGTTGGTTACAAGGACAAGGAGGCTGACTACATGGTTAAACAGACACCAGGTCGTTGTCTGCAGGTCACAAGGACAAGGAGGCTGACTACATGGTCAAACAGACACCAGGTCGTTGTCTGCAGGTCACAAGGACAAGGAGGCTGACTACATGGTCAAACAGACACCAGGTCGTTGTCTGCAGGTCACAAGGACAAGGAGGCTGACTACATGGTCAAACAGACACCAGGTCGTTGTCTGTTGGTCACAAGGACAAGGAGGCTGACTACATGGTCAAACAGACACCAGGTCGTTGTCTGTTGGTTACAAGGACAAGAAGGCTGACTACATGGTCAAACAGACACCAGGTCGTTGTCTGTTGGTTACAAGGACAAGGAGGCTGACTACAGGAAGAAAGACAATAGAATGTTGTCTGTATGTTACAAAGACAAGGAGGCTGACTACATGGTCAAACAGACACCAGGTCGTTGTCTGCAGGTCACAAGGACAAGGAGGCTGACTACATGGTCAAACAGACACCAGGTCGTTGTCTGCAGGTCACAAGGACAAGGAGGCTGACTACATGGTCAAACAGACACCAGGTCGTTGTCTGTTGGTTACAAGGACAAGGAGGCTGACTACATGGTCAAACAGACACCAGGTCGTTGTCTGTTGGTTACAAGGACAAGGAGGCTGACTACATGGTCAAACAGACACCAGGTCGTTGTCTGTTGGTTACAAGGACAAGGAGGCTGACTACAGGAAGAAAAGACAATAGAATGTTGTCTGTATGTTACAAAGACAAGGAGGCTGATAACAGGGTCAAACAGACACCAAGACGTTGTCTGTTGGTGACAAGGACAAGGAGGTTGACTACAGTAAAAAAAAAGACACTAGAATGTTGTCTGTATGTTACAGGGACAAACAGACATCAGGACATTGTCTGTTGGTTACAAGGACAAGGAGGTTGACTTCAGGACAAACAGACACCAGGACATTGTCTGTTGGTTACAAGGACAAGGAGTCTGACAACAGGAGGACAAACAGACATCAGGACATTGACTGTTGGTCACGGGAAAGCAGAAGCTAACATTGACTAATAGACATTAGAACATTGTGTTACGAACTTTTATGGCTAGTTTATTGTTCATTTGTAAATGCACTGAATATAATTTGAAGCCAGTCAGTAGTAACCGGGATAGTAAAATTGTTCCCTAAGCCGGACTCTCGTTACAGATGGGTTAGGTAACAGTACTATGATTGTAGAGTGTCCGTAAACAAGTATGGTGGTGCCGTCTGTTATCGTTCCTCATCAAAAAAAATTATGATACGGAACAGTGGGACAGTGTAAGACAAACAAGAGTCAGTCAATGCATTACTGTTTGTCTGACAGTATTCAATGAGTGTGCTCTACCATCTGGGTAATTTGGCCAAGCAAATGCTTAGCCCGGCTACATTTTGCCCGGGTGATAAGAAAATATGAAAGGGAGAAACTAGCTGACAGGTCCGGAAAAGATGTGGCACTGATCTGTAACTGTGTAATCAGTGTTTTTGTTTTAACTATCAAGGGATTTAGGGTGTCTTTTAAATAATTAGGTATTGTCAACCAGCACATAAACTTGAATTCTGCTGATATTTCGTTTAAATAACGTCAGTCATGAGTGCTAATATCCTGGCCTCGAGTGCCTGTGATTGTAGCGGGTCCCGAGTGACTTCGTGAGTAATATAAATACTCAGCTTCTCAAAAAAATGATACAAATAAATAAATAAATAAAAATAACGCTTCAATTGTATATTTTCAGTTCGGGAAGCCGAATTCAAGGGTAAAATATGGGACATTGTATATCGGTTGCAGGACTAGGACATATGATCGGAAAAGGACTGTTCTAGCTGACGACACGAGAACAGGAAGACTTTCAG